AATCGCGTGTGAAGCTTGCGCAACCAACCAAGTGGCTTGCAACTTTGACAAAAATACCCCAACACCAAAACGCTATAGGAGTGGGAAGTATAGATGAGAAAGAAGAAGAGTATAATAGCCAGTGATACCATCTTAGTGGAGACCGTATGAACATATGCAAATGAAGTAGCTTGTGTACTCAAAGGTGTATCTATTTATGTGGATTTGTTGATTTTTTTTCTTTTTGAATTTGCCTCCTGCTTTCTAGCCTTGTGAAAGTCTACCTTTTTTTTAATGTGCGGTTCATGGTACTTGCCTTGAATGCTTGAACCGACCCTTGGACTTATCATGAGTGTCCCCCCATCGATTCAGGATCGTTCCAGTACTTGGAGCGTTCCAGGATCGTTCATGTACCTGGAGCGTTCCAAGATCGTTCCCGTACCTGGAGCGTTCCAGGATCGTTCCCGTACCTGGAGCGTTCCAGGATCGTTCCCGTACCTGGAGCGTTCCAGGATCGTTCCCGTACCCGGGGCGTTCCAGGATCGATCCCGTAAGAAACTTCCCTCCCGGGATCGATCCCGTTCCGGATCACGAAAAGAACGATCCCGGATCGCCTCGCCATTTTCCAGATGCTGATGGCCAAGAAGCAACTGCTGGCCTCCCTCGACACCGACTTCTACGACAAGGTCATCACGCCACTACGTTTGGACGTTGAGTTGGCCAAGGTCGAGCTCGAGGACATCTTCGCGCACATTCTTGACGTTTGGGAACAAGCCAACACCGGCCGCGTGAAGCGGCACGTCCCCTCCGCTGACAAGTCCGTGCTGTACTCTGGTCTGCCGTTTGACATGGACGACAAGGCCCTCATTAGTAACTTCCAATTCCACATCGACGCCGCCAACAAGGTCCTTCCTTCGCTCTGCTCCGACGAGAATGCGAACGACGAGCCGACGACACGCTGGCCGGCTCCGCCTACGCGCAAGCCAGGTGTGCACTTTCCCCCTTCCTCCTAGCGTGACCGTCAGAACCGTCGAGGAGATGGGAAGTTTCACGGACGTCAACGACAACACCGCTTTGCCGCTTCGCCCCTCGCCAAAGGCGGGAATTGGCAACAAGAACATGGACGCCGCAACGACAAGCACTTCGACATGCACTCCCTGTCGTTCCACGTCGTCTCGAAGTAAGGCCTTCGTTCTGGAGTGTGTACGTTGCCCTCCAGGCTTCTGGCATGACTCCGCCAATTGTCCCACCGCCGACATCGAGTGCGACGAGTGCGTGATTGAGCAAGCCGACGACGCCGATGGACTCGTGTCCGCCTTCCAGACCGCCTTCGACGCTGAGGATGACACGGCCTTTGCTCGACTTTGTGCTCAACATGATCACCCCTTAGTTCGACAGGACGAGGAGCCTTTCACGTTCCCCGAGCACATTGACGTGGGCTTTCGGGCACAGTACGCAGAATTGACGCCCTACCAACCCTCTCTTCTTGCTACCCGCGTGCACGAGGCACGCACAGCTCTCCGCGAGCTGAAGCAGGTGGCTGGTGGTGCTGAATCAGCATCTCAGCACTTTCCCATGGTGCATTTCGGGTCGGCCACGCCCGCCGTGATCGACGAGAGCATCGTGGAGCCTGCGCCGCAAGTGGTAATCGAGGCCGACGAGGACGCGGTACTCTACCCCAAGCATTACATCGACGACGAGCCACCCTTCGAACAATCTTTCATGGACGGCATGTCTGTGAAGTCGGGCTTCTTCGAGCCTGAACCAATGAAAGGTTGCGGTTAATTCATTTACCCCTTGCCTCCGTACATTTCTACCGCGCATGATTCAGCTAGCTTAGCTGACCCGGAATCCGACGACGAGGACTTGCATGATGCCGTGCCACCACCCGCTCCACGGGTTGGTGGTGTCCGGACAACTTCAATTGGTACTTTCCTCACAGCAGCAGTACTGCCGGCTCTGTTTATGTGTGTGAGCATGGCCTACCTTGATCGACACCGTCACCGCCTCTGCACTTTGTGACGTGGAGATTGCTCCACGGTCGGTGATGTACGGGCAGTACCCTGTTTATCAGAACTGCACAGTGGACTTCTTCACTGACACCGCCTTTCTGGACACTGGACCCGCTGACTTCGACACCAACTTCAGTCTGGACTCTGGTTTTCTGGACTCTGTCTGTTTCGACATCTACGGTCTGGACTTTGAGATTGAGAACTACAATGCCACCAACTTCTGTGAACTCTACTCTGTGGACCACTTCCGAGGTGGCTAGAGTTGTATTAGGCTTGCTAGTAGCACCACTATATCTGTGTAACAGGGAAAGCAGCCTTCAGTGTGTATTGCTAGCTAGAGATGGGACCGCCCTGGCCAAGAGCACAGGCCCCCCCTAGAAATTTGTTTTCACCGCTTGCGATGGTGTGTTTCCCCTGACAAATCTGCCTGCTCCACCCTAACTCTTCCTCCGTAATAGTACAGGGTGGTGTGCTGGATGTGACACTCCGTGTGTGTCACAGTCCTATATCAGTACTAGTACTTCGTACATTACGGGTGTCGCAGGTTTAGGGTTTCCGGCTTAAGCCGAGCTTTGGTTAATATAACTTACTTCTTGTGTTATCTTAAGTGTAAGCATTCTGACTGTTTCATCAACACATCGTTATCACTATATATCTAACAGATAACTCGAGTGCTAAACATCCATTTGTTACGATTTTTCGCCCACCTTATACAATGGAATCATGCGGATGCCATGGCACCATGTTATCTCACACCGTGTGTGCATACCTCAATATATGTGACCCACATTCCACATACTTAATGAAATCCGGCTGAAACCATTCCTGCGGGCATTTGCGATCATGCGCCATGCCAAGTTGGCACCACTATTGGCTTCATGTTACGAGTGGGCGAAGACTTATATATCATGCTGTATACCAATGGGGAAAACTAGTATGTACTTAATTTGAGGACTTTAGTAGAGCAATCTTCAAAGGGCACCCCTGCACTTTCCAGTAAGTTTCTTGCTCGATATATCGAGTTTGATGGCCTTCGCCTAGTTCAGGGACCTTGCCTACGTCTCAAATATGGACATCAATACTTCATACATGTCAAATATAGCCTACCAACGTAGACGTTATGGCTGTTTCCGCGCTCGCATTGATGCTATACTGCTCAAACTGAATTCGTCATTTAGGTGTTAAAGCTAAAGCAGCTTCCTCTGGGCTACAATTCATGTCGTATATGTGCGCCTCCCAAATCTCTGATGAATCTTCAGGTTAGCATCAATCACGCTCTGCCACCTATACAAATCCTAATCAGGGGATCGGCACATCAATTGCCTTCTAGCTTATCTCTTCGTCTCTTGTCAGTTTCCAACGAGGGGCCACTTCTGCTTCGTCATCGCTGTCAATATGTCCAGACTTGCCGGACTTTCGGCTTAGATACGATTTTCACACCTCGGACTCGAGGACAGCTAGAGTCAACGCCATATTTCTGTCCATGGATTGGCCGGTCACCATTCTGAATAGGCCCCAGTGATGTGCCCTTTGGCACCCAGGTTTGTTAATCCTTCTCATCCATGATCAGTTGTAGGCCCTGTCTCTTCTTCTCACGAGCCTCAGCATGTTCATCCGGATCGTCAGCTACCAGATCATCGATCTCGCTAGCGTCATCCTCAGAGTCATAATCGACTGGGGTGTCATACTCCCATTCAGGGCTTGCCTCACCCGTGTTATTCTTACCAATGTCGTCAGTACCAGTGTCGTCAGCGTCATCTGTATTTGACAGATATTCTCATTATTCCAGGCTACAACTCCTTCATCAGAATGGTCATTTGTTAGGTTCTGAAATCTGTGCGGGGATTGTCACTGTCCGAGCCGGGTCAAATCATATACCGTCGTGTGGCGAAAATGCTCCACGACGGGATTTGAACCCGTGACGTTCGCTTCTCTCGGTGCGACGCTCTACCCAACTGAGCTACGCGAAGCTATTGATGATATCTTCGCGCATTTCAGTGGTACTCGTACAGCTCAGACGATTACATATCGAAGATGAATCGTGACATCGACGATGCCGTACCAACATCGCGACTGCGGGCGTCTGTCATATTTCGATCCGTAACATATCTCCCCCCTAAGAAAAAATCGTCACCTGACGATTCGATGCCATCGCATTCGTCTCGATTAACATTTCAGGGTCCCAACGTCAGATGTGATGACGTGGCAGCTTACGATGAAGCTGAATAGCAGTTCTTGAGATGCAGCCCATCGCACCGAAGGTGCATCGCAGTTCTTGGGACGCAGCCCGGATCCACGTCATCAGTGCGGGCCACATCGTGCCAACGCGCCGTTACACCCGAAGCGGCTCTGAACCGTGGTCGCTTCGATACCAATGTTAGGGTCTGAAATCGGTGCGGGGATTTTCACTGTCCGAGCCGGGTCAAATCATATACCGTCGTGTGGCGAAAATGCTCCACGACGGGATTTGAACCCGTGACGTTCGCTTCTCTCGGTGCGACGCTCTAACCAACTGAGCTACGCGAAGCTATTGATGATATCTTCGCGCATTTCAGTGGTACTCGTACAGCTCAGACGATTACATATCGAAGATGAATCGTGACATCGACGATACCGTACCAACATCGCGACTGCGGGCGTCTGTCATATTTCGATCCGTAACATATCTCCCCCCTAAGAAAAAATCGTCACCTGACGATTCGATGCCATCGCATTCGTCTCGATTAACATTTCAGGGTCCCAACGTCAGATGTGATGACGTGGCAGCTTACGATGAAGCTGAATAGCAGTTCTTGAGATGCAGCCCATCGCACCGAAGGTGCATCGCAGTTCTTGGGACGCAGCCCGGATCCACGTCATCAGTGCGGGTCACATCGTGCCAACGCGCCGTTACACCCGAAGCGGCTCTGAACCGTGGTCGCTTCGATACCAATGTTAGGGTCTGAAATCGGTGCGGGGATTTTCACTGTCCGAGCCGGGTCAAATCATATACCGTCGTGTGGCGAAAATGCTCCACGACGGGATTTGAACCCGTGACGTTCGCTTCTCTCGGTGCGACGCTCTAACCAACTGAGCTACGCGAAGCTATTGATGATATCTTCGCGCATTTTAGTGGTACTCGTACAGCTCAGACGATTACATATCGAAGATGAATCGTGACATCGACGATGCCGTACCAACATCGCGACTGCGGGCGTCTGTCATATTTCGATCCGTAACATATCTCCCCCCTAAGAAAAAATCGTCACCTGACGATTCGATGCCATCGCATTCGTCTCGATTAACATTTCAGGGTCCCAACGTCAGATGTGATGACGTGGCAGCTTACGATGAAGCTGAATAGCAGTTCTTGAGATGCAGCCCATCGCACCGAAGGTGCATCGCAGTTCTTGGGACGCAGCCCGGATCCACGTCATCAGTGCGGGTCACATCGTGCCAACGCGCCGTTACACCCGAAGCGGCTCTGAACCGTGGTCGCTTCGATACCAATGTTAGGGTCTGAAATCGGTGCGGGGATTTTCACTGTACGAGCCGGGTCAAATCATATATCGTCGTGTGGCAAAAATGCTCCACGACGGGATTTGAACCCGTGACGTTCGCTTCTCTAGTGCGATGCTCTAATGCTGATATCTTCGCGCATTTCAGTGGTACTCGTACAGCTCAGACGATTGCAGATCGAAGATGAATCGTGACATCGACGCTGACGTACTTACCAACATCGCGACTGCGGGCGTTTGTCATCTTTCGATCCGTAACATCATTGGGCGTAGGCGTCGCTTTCTTCGGACTACCAGTGTAGGGAATTTCGTGATAATCGTCTATCCCCATTTTGGTAATTTAGGCGCCACTGATAAGAATGGAGAATGTCGCTACTGGCTCTTTCGCTCTGGTGGCGTCTTCTAGAAACCATCCACCACCTCTCTTACGCTCCCAGCGGCGTAGCGCTCCAGACGTCATGCCAATAATATGCAACCATGATGCTTTAAACTTACTGGCAGTATCTCCAGCAAACGCAGTCAACGGTTATGGGGTTCCCTTCCGTACCCAGCTCCATTGAGCTGGCTCCACTGGGAAGAAGGACAACCTGCCAGTTGAACGGCAGAGATGTACTTATGACCCCTGGCACAAAGCGAATGTCGCGGTAAAAATCGTTGCACCGACCGATTTAAACTCGACAGGTAGTCCGAGAGTGTGTTTAACCCAGGTTGAAACCCAACACGTTGCCAGGTTAATATCGCACCATATACCATTGATACGCGCTGTTGCAGGAGACAATGCACCTACGGTCATATATTGTTTCTGCAACTTCGACTTTGACTTTACGTCGCGAGTTTCACTGCATACAAACTCAACAGTGACGAGAGCACACGAACCGCTTGGCACCCGCGTGTCAAAATAATGCGGAATGCACAGTCCATTAAACGAAATGCCGAGCGTGCGAACAAATATCCATGCTGGTTTGTAATAAGTGGCACGGTCCCCAAACCTCCCCCCAATGAGCTATTGGAAATGGCGAAAGAACACTCAGGGAAGTCAGGCTGCCGAAGCCATACGGAAAACGGTGCTGATGGACACACACTTAGGACCGCTGATAATATTGCAGGTGCATATATTATCAGTCTTTGAGTGTTGGTGCCATGTCACGATCGCACGAGTCACCATGCAACTATGCCACCAAAGCGACCACAGTGGAGCACTGAGATGGCGATTTGTCGATATAATCGACGTTGAGTGATGATGACTGAAATCTCAGCACTCCACCTCGTTGAGGTGTAAGCACATCCGCAGACTCACCGGTATCGATCGATCTTTTAAAATGTTCATAAACTCTATCGATCGATGACCAGAATCCAAACCGATTAAGAACGTGCTATTCGGACACAGCGCATATGTGTTGATATGTTTACCATCACCGGACCCTTTCTTGGGTAACGTGTGAAATTTGTCGCCATCAGGCTTATTTTTGTCGCCAGGCGTTATTTTGTCGCCATTGAGGAAATTTGTCGCCGCGATAAAAATCCTCTAATCGAGACAATTTGTCGCCATGTAACACAAATCCTCTAATCAACACTTTTTGTCGCCACGAAATGTGTCGCCGCGCCAAACGATCCTCCATTATAGATTAGACAAATTGTCGCCATGTAACAAAATCCTCTGATATAATGACAATTCGTTTGTCATCCGGAAAAGGGAGTTTTTTCGCCGTTTTGGCTACCAAGTCACTAGTGGAGACAATATGTCGCCTACACGAATGAACGAGCAAAGACGGGTAGAATTCTACTTCCGTACAAAAATAAACGTATCATGCAATATATATTTTTACGAAGCTAGTAAGTAACTTAGTTAATTTTACTGACCGGTAAGACAGTCAGTGCAAGCAGATAATTTTACTGCCGGTAACACAGTCATCACTACAGTTATTACCTACTAATTTGAAACAGTATATGGCCGACAAGATATTATCACTACGTAGAATTATCACTTCTAAATTGAAACCGTAATTGACCGACAAGAGAGTATCACTACAACTATTACTTATATTCTAGATTCAAACAGTAATTGACCGTTACGTAAGACAATCAGCTAAAATATGACTTCTAAATTCAAACAGTAAATGCCAGTAAAACATTAATCACTAAAAAGTACTTGCTATCCTAAGAGTAAAATGCACTAAGGTGCGCGTGTTATATCGCGCCAGCATATGCAAAATTGAACTACCGCGAATTCAGCCAGGACGTTGGCAGGGGATCGAACCCAAGACGACAGACAAGCTGTTCGGACGTCGCCCTCATTATGAATTCAAAGCCGAGCGCTAAACGAAAAATACGGTTACCTGTTAAATCGACACGCGCGGAATCGGCCAGGACGTTGAGGATCGAACCCAAGCCGACATACCAGCTGTACGCCCTCAAAATGAGACCCAAGCAAAGCGCCAAAACTTGAGAAATCCGCCCAGCTCGTAGCTGTCCATATCAACCATTAGATAAAAACCCCGCAAGTCACAGGGACTAAAACGTCGGCTGTCTTACTAAATATTCATCTCAGCTAAAACCTGTGACAAAACGCCGATGCAATCCGCCAGAGATTGTGGTGAAGCCGAACGAGTGTACTTCGAGTGTTTATCAAATACAAAGGTCTTGTTATTACTTTTCTTGAGGTCAGGCAAGAATCACCACTTTAGCAAGTTTTCTTATCTTAATTGCAAGTAAAGCTGAATATTATTCAACAGAGTTAGGTTGCACATAATGTCATATCTCTAAAACATAATGTTATTGACTCCGAGAGCCATCATCATATACTCTCTCCTCAATTGTTATTCTAGAATCTCTCATTCTATTCTGCACCAATCACATCTCACTTATGACAGGGCCTACATTCTACTCCTTCATTTGTGATCTCTGCCGGCCAATCCTGAAGCGCCACATTAATCAGTCCTGGCCTTCTTCCGACGGGGCGCCTCCTCAGGGTTACTATCGTCATCAGAACTCTCGTCGGCGGGTTTCGTGGTCAGCTTCCCATCCTCGATGTCCTCGGACTGGTCAGGCCGTCCAGGATCGTAGATGCCCGTCTCGTACTTGTCGGCATCCGTGGGCGTCTCCTCGACAGCCACCTCAGCAGCACCAGCTCCATCCTCCTCGTCATCATGAGCATCAGGACTGGTGGGACTGTAACAAGGATATGCGTACTCGATGCCACTTGCCACATTGGCGTCATCGCTCAGAGCGTCATCCAGGTCGGGTGGGGAATCATCCAGCCCCACCGGGAGCGTGACCTCCCCGTCCGGCTCCGGCGTCGGCGACCGTGATCGGCGCCCCGTATACGGGATGCCGCGATACGGCTCGTCAGCCGCGCGGATCTCCTCGATCTTCCGGCGGAGGTCATTCTGCCAATCGATCCTCTTCTGCATAGCATCACGAGCCTCTTGGATGACCTCCCGCGTGGTGGCCAATTGCTCGCTCACTCACCGGTGCTGCTCATTCAGCCTTCGCTGGTTATACCAGGGGCTGATCCGCAGTCCCATCTGGCGGCGAGGTAGCTTGGGCGCGTGTCCCGCCCAAGGGGTGCCACCAGCGGCGCCACCGGGTACCGCTGAAATGGGAAACTGCACCTCGGGCGAGCGCTCTCTGGTCACGGCCAAGGGAGTCGCCTCCCCAGCGCCAGCTGCGGTAGGCGGCTCTGCCGCTGCGGTCGCGCCCGGCCCTCGAGCAGAAACTCTGTGAGGCACCAACTGTTTACGCCCACGCTTCCCGCTACCGCGGAAGGCTCCTGTCACATAAGCAAAAACACATATGCACAATAAATTTCTCCCTCGAAAAACAGTGCATGCGTATGGTTAATGTGTAAAGAAAGCGAAGCTCCACGCACGCTGCGTGCGCACCCATGCATCTCACGTGCGGAACTACGTAGCAGCCAGCGCAACCTATAGCAAAAACAAGAGCGAGTGTGGAACATACACGAAGTGGGAAAATATGCAGGTGTAGCAAGAGCAAGCAACGCAGGATACATGGGTTCCACAGCAAAGCATGCACACAGGCGTGTTGCCGTCAAAAGGGCAACTGAAAAAGAAATACAATGCGGTCGCTGCACGTCATAATACTGCTGCTGCGGCTCGTTCGTGTCGAATGGAATCCACCGATTTCGTCGCATCACGATCAAAACATATTATGATTAGCACGTCGTTCAACCTGATCTTCGATCTTGAGCGCAGGTCAGAATGCGGTCGGCTGTCGAGTGAGTGTGTCGTGTGTCGTGTGATCGTGTCTCGGTCGTCGGTGTCGAGCTGTCAAGCTGTCGGTCGACAGACCTGATCGCTGATGGTAGACGAAAGGGCTGGCAAAGTGAAACTGAAAGTCGAAAGTCAAAGTGGCAGTCGAGTGATGCTGTTGGCGATGGCGATGGCGAAAAACTTCCGAGCAATACAAAATTATAAAAAAAAATAGCGACAACTGGCGATGGCGATGCAGAATTTCCTGAAGAAAAAATGACAGAACAAAAACAGAAATGGAATCTCTAAGGGTTCGGATTTTTTTTCCTGGGAAATTTTGCACGCAGCCAAAAATTCTGCAACCAACCTCAAAATTCTG